AAAACTAGCCTGGCCAGGCTGAGAGACCAGCTAAAACCAGCCTGCTCAGGCTGGGAGACCAGCTAAAACCAGCTTGACCAGGCTGAGAGACCAGCTAAAACCAGCCTGGTCAGATTGAGAGACCAGCTTGACCAGGATGGGAGACCAGCTAAAACCAGCTTGATCAGCCAGGCCAGGCTGGGAGACCAGCGAAAACCAGCTTGACCAGGCTGAGAGACCAGCTAAAACCAGCCTGGTCAGACTGAGATACCAGCTTGACCGGTCTGGCCAGGTTGGGAAACCAGCTAAAACCAGCTTGACCAGGCTGGGAGACCAGCTAAAACCATCCTAGTCAGATTGAGAGACCAGCTTGACCAGCTTGACCAGGATGAGAGACCAGCTAAAACCAGCTTGACCAGGCTGAGAGACCAGCTAAAACCAGCCTGGTCAGACTGACATACCAGCTTGACCAGCCTGGCCAGGTTGGAAGACCAGCTAAAATCTGCTTGACCAGGCTGGGAGACCAGCTAAAACCAGCTCCATCCAGCTAAAACCAACTAAGACAAGCAAACCATCTTAGGCTGGTTTTAGCTGTTTTTTTCAGCAGGGTTGAAACCATTTGGAATAACATGAGGCTGGGAAAATAAATCCACAAAACCATGGTAAAACTCTGGATTTCTCTTACCATGTTTTACAATTCGTCAGCACACTCTGTCCAGTTTCGAAAACTCTCCCGCTGAATTCGCAGGTGCAGTTATCGCGAGTCACACAACCACCGTTATGATCTTCAAAAAGGCCACCCGGACAATAACAGCCACTGAAACAGCTGCCATCATTACTCTGTGGATATGAAAAATTTCACACACAACATGAACATGATAACACTTAAAACAAGACGCTGTTGTGTATATTTGTGGAAATGAAATGCTTACCACGGGTTTGGTCAAGCTTCCGCATGTCCTATGGGCCGTGTTGACCGGTATTTGTGAGCAATCCACACAAATCTTTCCCGCTGTGCAATCTAGAAAGGAGGCAAAGAGTTTAACGAATGTTTGTAGCTGAATATCAGTTGAGCTTAACATAAGACTTGTAATGAACATTGTTTAATGAATTAGACTTGCGCTGAAGGCAAACTCTGGCGAATTTGGATTTCACCTGTGAAATTTCCAACCCAAGCTCACTTTGGAAACGTAGCCCCGCGGACGTTTCTGGAGACCGCGATTTACGTGGCCGGAGGTACGTACGGATGTGTTTAGTTTTTTTCGAGTGAACGCTGCGGGGCGGTGTGGCGCCGCTCCGCTCCTCCTCTTCGCGCTCGTCGGCCGACGGCTCGCCTCCGAGTGGAGGGCTTTCCCGATGCAACCAGTTTGTCCGCTTGGCTCACAGCGTTGCATTGGCGGAGCGGAGGCCCCGGAAGAGGAGCCGGCCACGGGGACGACGACCGGGATCGAGTCCAGGGAACAGCGGTTCCAGAAATCAGGTAAGACGAAAAACGGAATCCGAAGAATAAGGCGGGATTCGAAAACGCGGTCGTAATCGAAGACGAGGGCTTTTGCTTTTTTTTTTTTTTTTTCTGGACGGCTTTTGCAAACCGTTGCTCGGGTTTAGGGAAGGAGGAGGAGGAGGAGGAAGAGGAGGGGCGGCCGATCCGGCGGCTTTTCGCGTGAGAACAGCGCGGGCGTGAACGGCGCGCGCTCCCGAGAGGCGCCCAAGACGCGAAAAAGCGCGCACAGCGGCCTCTCTAGGATCCGCGAAAACAAAAAACGCTCGAATACGTACCTCCCGGGACGTATCTTGCGGTCAGCAGAAACGTCCGCGGAGCTACGTTTCCACAATGAGCCCGGGTTGGAAATTTCACCCTATCAACACATCTTTCCTGGACTTTATTTACAGTAGTATTGTAAACCAATCGTTATTTTTGGATATAGACTCATTTTAACCCCCCCTAGTATTAACAGTTAACAGTTGAGTTTACCATTTTTTCAATTCATTCCACTCAATTAGCTTAGCTTAGCTTAGCATAGATCATTGAATAATAAACAAACTGTAACTATAACTACAGTCGTAGTGTTGTTACGATATCGTAATTCAATACCCATTGGTACTGAAATTTTAAAAAACAACTTCCAGCGCGTTCTTGATCAGTTCTCAACAAAAATGACAGTGATTGGCCGTGAAGGGTCAGTTCACTGAACTCACCGCTGTTTACTGAGTGTACCATACTAAAAAAAACTGCTTAAACCAGCCTAGGCTGGTTGGCTGGTTTTAGCTAGTCGACCAGGCTGGTTTTAGAGGGGTTTTGGCCCTTTCCAGGCTGGTTTCCAGCCATTTCCATCCTGGTCTTAGCTGCTCAGGCTGGAAGATGGCCATCTAAAACCAGCTTGGCCAGCCTAGCCAGGCTGGGAGCCCATCTAAAACCAGCTATGTCCAGCTTAAACCAGACTGGTCAAGCTGGTTTTAGCTGGATTTAGCTGGTCATTTTCCAGCCTGACCAGCTAAGACCAGGCTGGAAATGGCTGGAAACCAGCCTGGAAGTGGCCAAACCCCTTCTAAAACCAGGCTGGTTGACCAGCTAAATCCAGCCAACCAGCCTAGGCTGGGTTTAAGCTGGATTTTTCAGCAGGGTAACCACAGATACAGGGACACTGAAGCATTTTAAAGCCCTGAAGATCAGCTGCTTTGTTCATAAGCTGACATCCGATTGATCCGCTGATGAATGAGCTGATCTTCGCAGCTTTAAAACGCTCCAGTGTTAAGTCAATGTTAGCGGGACGTTTTTAAAATCACAGAACCGATAAGTTTCGAATTCCAGTATCGTGACGATGTTATAATGTTGTCTATAGAAAGACTTTCATAAACTGTCCTTTGGACGTAAACGGCTTCCAGTTTCCAACATTGTTCAAAATATCCTCTTGTCATAAACCTGTCATAAACATGACGGCCATTATAATTGTGTCATTACTGCTCTGATTCATTCTGAACACTTTTTGTCCCTGCATTTTCTTAGTGAAAGTGTCAATACCCTGTCAAACTATTTTACAACAGTGCCATTAAAATTAAGATATTTTAGTTTTGCACTGCTGTAGCTGAGGTCAAGAAAAGGTGCAATGAACACCCCTTTAAGTGAAGTGTTTTAAAGCGTGTGACACTGGCTATGTTTCTGTAAAACCTGAAATACAGGTACTTTGAGTTGCACATCTCCTACAAAACATCCACAAGCAGGTGTTGTTTTACTTATGCATCACCTATGCTAAGCCATAAACAAAACCTAACCAATAGAGGGGGAAGAAACAACAAAAGACACACATTTGCTCAAGCATACGTGTAATTTTGGTTGCATTCTTTTTCACAGGAAATGTATTAAACTTTACCAGAAAAAAAGTAGTCAATATGAAGAAAGATGCGTGCCAAACACTTGTTTACAAATAAGTCGTCTTCTAAATGGACTTAAATCTTTTTAAAAGTCAACATTTAATCCTCCTCCATGTGTACGAAGCATGCTTGATTTCTTTTCTACTGTTGAACATGAAATAAGACAGTTTGAAGAATGTTGAAAGCCACCAGTAGGCATTGACTTACATAGAATTTCCTTAGGTTTAGGAAAGAGGGCGATCGAGTCAATCTGTGCTTTTTAAACACTATCAGTTGGGTTTAGGAAAGGGGGTAATCGAGTCAATCTGTGCTTTTGAAAACACTATCGGTTGGGTTTAGGAAAGGGGGTAATCGAGTCAATCTGTGCTTTTTAAACACTATCAGTTGGGTTTAGGAAAGGGGGTAATCGAGTCAATCTGTGCTTTTTAAACACTATCAGTTGGGTTTAGGAAAGGGGGTAATCGAGCCAATCTGTGCTTTTGAAAACACTATCGGTTGGGTTTAGGAAAGGGGGTAATCGAGTCAATCTGTGCTTTTGAAAACGCTATCGGTTGGGTTTAGGAAAGGGGGTAATCGAGTCAATCTGTGCTTTTGAAAACACTATCGGTTGGGTTTTGGGACGGTGATGATTGAATCAATCTGTGCTTTTGAAAACGCTATCGGTTGGGTTTAGGAGAGGGGGAAATCTAGTCAATCTGTGCTTTTGAAAACACTATCGGTTGGGTTTAGGAAAGGGGTAACCGAGTCAATCTGTGCTTTTGAAAACACTATCGGTTGGGTTTTGGGACGGTGATGATCGAGTCAATCTGTGCATTTGAAAACGCTATCGGTTGGGTTTAGGAAAGGGGGTAATCGAGTCAATCTGTGCTTTTGAAAACACTATCAGTTGGGTTTAGGAAAGAGGGCGATCGAGTCAATCTGTGCTTTTGAAAACACTATCAGTTGGGTTTAGGAAAGGGGGTAATCGAGTCAATCAGTGCTTTTGAAAACACTATCGGTTGGGTTTTGGGACGGTGATGATTGAGTCAATCTGTGCTTTTGAAAACGCTATCGGTTGGGTTTAGGAAAGGGGGTAATCGAGTCAATCTGTGCTTTTTAAACACTATCGGTTGGGACGTAAATGCAACTCATTGTGGAAACGTAGCCCCGCGGGCTTTTGTTTTCGCGGATCCGCGAGAGGCCGCTGTGCGCGCTTTTTTGCGTCTCGGGGCCCGCGCTGTTCTCGCGCAAAAAGCTGCCGGATCGACCGACCCGGCCGCCCCGGCCGCCCTCCTCTTCCTCCTCCTCCTTCCCTAAACCCAAGCGACTGTTTGCAAAAGCCGTCCAGAAAAAAAAAAAAAAGCAAAAGCCCTCGTCTTTGATTTCGACCGCGTTTTCGGATCCCGCCACGTTCTCGCCCTTATTTTTCGGATTCCGTTTTTCGTCTTACCTGATTTCTGGAACAGCTGTTCCACGGACTCGATCCCGGTCATCGTCCCCGCGGCCGGCTCCTCCTCCTCCTCCGGGGCCTCCGCTCCGCGACGTAACGCTGTGAGCTAAGCGGACAAACTGGTTGCATCGGGAAAGCCCTCCACTCGGAGGCGAGCTGTCGGCCGCCGAGCACGAAGAGGAGGAGCGGAGCGGCGCCACACCGCCCCGCAGCGTTCGCTCGAAAAAAACTAAACTCGGCCGTACGTACCTCCGGCCACGTAAATCGCGGTCTCCAGAAACGTCCGCGGGGCTACGTTTCCAGAATGAGCTTGGGTTGCGTAAATGGCTACCGGTTTACAACATTCTTCAAATTATTTTCTTGTGTGTTCAACATAACCCAAACAGATTTGAAACTACTCGAGGTTGAGTAAATGGTGAGCACATTTTCATTAGTTGGTGAATTAGCTCTTTAAGCGTTTTGAGATCTTCATATTTAGCAAAAAACAACTGAAAGGGAATCATAATTTGTCAGAAAGAGAACAAAAGTAACTGTTATAAGTAACCACGTTTAGTGGTCTTGCTAAAACATAGCCAGTCACCTGAAAAAAATAACAATATTAAACTTACTGCAAATTCGGGGACACCGTAGCTGTCCATTTTCACACAAGCTGCAATACAAACATTGAACATCGCATTAGCAAAAACTCAGCATTCATTCATTCATTTTTCTTTGGCTTAGTGCCATTATTTTTCAGAGGTCGCCACAGTGGAATGAACCGCCAACTTATCCAGCATATGTTTTACACAGCGGGTGCCTTTCCAGTTGCAACCCAGTACTGGGAAACACCCATACAAACTAATTCACACTCATTCATTCATTTTCTTTTTGGCTTAGTCCCTTTATTCATCAGGGGTTGCCACAGCGGAATGAACCGCCAACTTATCCAGCATATGTTTTACACAGCGGGTGCCTTTTCAGTTGCAACCCAGTACTGGGAAACACCCGTACACACTCATTTACACTCATTCATTCATTTTCTTTTTGGCTTAGTCTCTTTATTCATCAGAAGTTGCCACAGCGGAATGAACCGCCAACTTATTCAGCATATGTTTTACACAGCAGATGCCCTGCCATCTGCAACCCAGTACTGGAAAACGCCCATACACACTCATTTACACTCATTCATTCATTTTCTTTTTGGCTTAGTCTCTTTATTCATCAGGGGTTGTCACAGCGGAATGAACCGCCAACTTATCCAGCATTTGTTTTAGGCAGCGGATGCCCTTCCAGCTGCAACCCAGTACTGGAAAACGCCCTACACACTCATTTACACTCATTCATTCATTTTCTTTTCGGCTTAGTCCCTTTATTCATCAGAAGTTGTCACAGCGGAATGAACCGCCAACTTATCCAGCATTTGTTTTAAGCAGCGGATGCCCTTTTAGCTGCAACCCAGTACTGAAAAACGCCCATACACACTCATTTACACTCAGTCATTCATTTTCTTTTTGGCTTAGTCCCTTTATTCATCAGAAGCTGCCACAGTGGAATGAACCGCCAACTTATTCAGCATATGTTTTAAACAGCAGATGCCCTTCCAGCTGCAGCCCAGTACTGGAAAACGCCCATACACACTCAATTAAAATCATTCATTCATTCTCCTTTCGGCTTAGTCCCTTTATTCATCAGGGGTTGCCACAGCGGAATGAACCGCCAACTTATCCAGCATATGTTTTACACATCGGGTGCCTTTTCAGTTGCAACCCAGTACTGGGAAACACCCATACACACTCATTTACACTCATTCATTCATTTTCTTTTTGGCTTAGTCTCTTTATTCATCAGAAGTTGCCACAGCGGAATGAACCGCCAACTTATTCAGCATACGTTTTACACAGCAGATGCCCTTCCAACTGCAACCCAGTACTGGAAAACGCCCATACACACTCATTTACACTCATTCATTCATTTTCTTTTCGGATTAGTCCCTTTATTCATCTGGGGTCTCCACAACGGAATGAACCGCCAACTTATCCAGCATTTGTTTTAAGTAGCGGATGCCCTTTTAGCTGCAACCCAGTATTGGAAAACGCCCATACACACTCATTTACACATTTGCTAACCACTGAGCCACCGTATCGTCAAGTACTCAACATGAACTTTTCAGCATAGTTTTAATCTTTACCATTGGCGTCCACCGATAACCACTGGACCCGGAGGCGCGACTCCTCCAGGATGGTAGCAGCTGCACAGTGTCTTAGGGCTGCAGGTCTGCTGGTTGTCCAGGTGAGAGTCCGACGCGCATCCACACCCCTCCACAGGGTCGTCCAGCACTGCACAGGTGGGATCGGGGGCCGACAGGGAACGGCAGGTATGGTTACAAGCCATCGTTTCGTAGGCGAACATCAGGTTGCCCATGCACGGAGGAACTGAAAACCAAAAGATGTGTGTTGGTGAGACATACTGTATATAGATGTGCGCGCACACAACCAAGACGGTGGGTAGAAACGGAATGCACTTATTTCCACCCAAGCTCATTCTGAAAATGTACCCCTATATCCATTATTGGAGAGCGCCAAATACATCCCGGGTGCAGTTTTTGTTTTTGTGAATCCGCTGTGTACGATTTTTCAGATCTCTAATTTCTCTCACGAGTGCCATACACACCTGCTGTTCTCGCTTATATCCACCAGCTGTCGACTGACTGACCAACCGATAACCCCCATCCACCCTCTTCCCTAAACCCAACCGATAGTGGTTTGTGAAGCAATTCAGAAAAAGAAAAGTCTCCTGATTTTTACTACGTTATTAGATTTTTACCACATTCCCACCCTGTTATTTACTTGTTTATTTTAATTTTTGGCTTTTGTTTTTGTTTACCCACTCTCTGGAACCGTTCTTCACCGGATTCGAACCCCGCGGTAGGCCACTGGACAAACTGGTAACATCAGAAAAGCCATCCACACGAAGGTACAGAAAGAGGACAGCTGCTGCCGTGAAAGGAAATGGCATCATACCCAGGGCCGGAGCAAGCTGAACTGCCGCTCTAGGCAGAGGATGATCACGCCGCCCTCAACCCCAATGTGAAAACGAAAGTGACCATTTATGAAAATGAAGTGAGGTGTCCCGGACCTCTATTCTGCTGCCCTTAGCGCAGATATAACTGAGGACACGCCGGTGCTGATGGAGGGAGGTGTCGCGGATGCCGCCCTTTCTATTCTGCCGCCCTTTGCGCGGATATAACTGAGGATGCGCGGGTGTCGCGGACCTCTATTCTGCCGCCCTTTGCGCAGATATAACTGAGGACACGCCGGTGCTGATGGAGGTGTGGCCTATGCACGAATATATCTGAGGACGCGGGTGGTGAGGGAGGTGTCGCGGACATAACTGAGGACGCGGGTGGTAAGGGAGGTGTCGCGGATGCCGCCCTCTCTATACTGCCGCCCTCAGCAGCTGCCTAGGTCGCCTCTATGGACGCGCCAGCCCTGATCATACCGCCTCGTAGCTTTTATTTTAAAGATGAAAAGCAGCAATACATTCCTCTGGCTACATAATTCACGATCTCCAGGAATGTATACAGGGCTACATTTTCAGAATGAGCCTGTGTTGTTTTTAATGCAGCATTTTAAAGTATGGCTTTACTCTTACTTTTGTATTTTCATAAGCTGTTTGACTTCCATTTGAGTATATTTTTTGGTTACTGCGCCCACCTCTTGCACACACAAATCAAAAAAACCGTAACACCTAATTTAAAATTTCTCCTTTTAGAAACGGTTGACTGCTAGTACATTTTAAATATATATAAATATTTAATATTTTTCATATTTAAATATGTAAATATTTAAATATTTATATAAATTTACAACAACTGCTCTTCCAAAAACGGTCAAAAAGCACGTCAAATTGCAATCAAAATCAAATCTAACATTGGCGTTAAAACACGAACGATTACAGAACTGATTTTACTAAAAAATTTGATGTCGTTTTGACTATAAGGTAGTTTACGCGCATTGTAGGAATAAATTAGTCGGTGTAAATTTGTAATTAAATGAATATATATAATATTTTTGTGTCATTATTTTGGTGGGGCATCAATGTGTGGGTGTTAAATAGAAGTTTTTGACGTTAAATTGATTAGCTTTTTTATGTGTTTATTTTTTTATGTGCTGTTTAATGTTGCTACCTGCTAATAAAGTTTTATTTTTATTATTATTGTTGTTAATATTATTTAAACTTTAATAAACTTTAAATTTAATTTAATATTATAGTAAAATCACCCCTTTTTAACAAAAAAAAAATATAGCGCTAATAGAAAGAAAGGGTTACTGTTTAATGTATGAGAAAAAATTGGCCCCTCTAAAACTACAGTCATTAACGTTTATTTAACCAAAACAATGTAAATGGAGGCTTGAAGTCTGTGTGTAAAGACTGGGAGTAACACCTGTTTTTTTTTTTTTTACAACCACTGGTCATTTTCCAGCCTGACCAGCTCAGACCAGGCTGGAAATGGCTGGAAACTAGCCTGGAAATGGCCAAAACCCCTTTAAAACCAGGCTGGTTGACCAGCTAAATCCAGCCAACCAGCCTAGGCTGGTTTAAGCTGGATTTTTCAGCAGGGTAACCACAGATACAGGGACACTGAAGCATTTTAAAGCCCTGAAGATCAGCTGTTCTTTTTATAAGCTGACATCCGATTGATCCGCTGATGAATCAGCTGATCTTCGCAGCTTTAAAACGCTCCAGTGTTAAGTCAATGTTAGCGGGACGTTTTTAAAATCACAGAACCGATTGGTATCAAATTCCAGCATCGTGACGATGTTATAACGTTGTCTATAGAAAGACTTTCATAGACTGTCCTTTGGATGTAATTGGCTTCTAGTTTCCAACATTGTTCAAAATATTCTCTTGTCATAAACCTGTCATAAACATGACGGCCATTATAATTGTGTCATTACTGTCTGATTCATTCTGAACACTTTTTGTCCTTGCATTTGCTTAGTGAAAGTGTCAATACCCTGTCAAACTATTTTACAACAGTGCCATTAAAATTAAGTTATGAATTTAAGGTAGTTTACGCGCATTGTAGGGATAAAAAATTCGGTGTAAATTTGTAATTAAATGAATATATATAATATTTTTGTGTCATTATTTTGGTGGGGCATCAATGTGTGGGTGTTAAATAGAAGTTTTTGATGTTAAATTGATTAGCTTTTTTATGTGTTTATTTTTTATGTGCTGTTTAATGTTGCAACCTGCTAAGTAAAGTTATATTTTTATTATTATTGTTGTTAATATTATTTAAACTTTAATAACTTTAAATTTAATTTAATATTCTAGTAAAATCACCCCTAATTGACAAAAAAATGTAGCGCAAGTAGAAAGAAAAGGTTACCATTTAATGTATGAGTAAAAATTAGCCCCTCTAAAACTACAGTCATTAACGTTTATTTATCCAAAACAATGTAAATGGAGGCTTGAAGTCTGTGTGTAAAGACTGGGATTAACACCTTTGTTTTTATAACCACTTACAACCGCTGTTAACAAAAGCGTGTCTCTTACCGCAGTTTGTCCCAGATCTCCAGTCTTCAACCGTGATCCCTTGAGCCACACAGGCTTTTGCGTAGTTCCCGAAGGAGACGCACAAGCAATCCTGCAATGCTCTGGAGCACTGACACGTTCTCTTAACGCAAGCCTGATAAGAGCCAAACGTTTTGTTTAAGAATGAGAAAACAACCCAACACCACATTTTTTTATGGATAGAACAGCATCCGTACCTCAACAAAGGGACTGACGGGAACATAATCATGACACTCAGCAAACACTCCTTCTGGATCTCTCAGCTGATCACAGCCCTGCTCAGCAAATAGCTCTGAAAATCAAATAAATAAATCAGTGGAAAGCGCTTGGAAAGGGTCTCAATCTATATATTAAGGGTGTCTGGAATACGTGATCTTGATTGGTCAGTTGTGACATTCCAAGGTAAGTTATTCCCAGATAACAACCGATGAATGACACAAGCTCATGAACTTGTGTTCACATCTATATAATTACGTCCACATTCATATTCATCTGCTTGCCATGGAAGTTGTTTGTTTGGCACCATCTCATGAATAAATTATAGATAGGTTAGTGTATGCTCCATTTAGCCAGTTTAGTTTCTGTCAGCTTTGTGTTTTTGGCTGTTTGTCTCCATCTAGTGTCTGAATAATGCGCAGGTTAGTGTATACTCCATCAGCTGTTTTAGTTTCTGTTGTGTTTTTGACTGTCTGTCTCCATCTTGTGTCTGAATAATGCGCAGGTTAGTGTATACTCCATCAGCTGTTTTAGTTTCTGTTGTGTTTTTGGCTGTTTGTCTCCATCTTGTGTCTGAATAATGCGCAGGTTAGTGTATACTCCATCAGCTGTTTTAGTTTCTGTTGTGTTTTTAACTGTTTGGCGCCATCTTGTGTCTGAATAATGCGCAGGTTAGTGTATACTCCATCAGCTGTTTTAGTTTCTGTTGTGTTTTTAACTGTTTGGCGCCATCTTGTGTCTGAATAATGTGCAGGTTAGTGTATACTCCATCAGCTGTTTTAGTTTCTGTTGTGTTTTTGACTGTTTGTCGCCATCGTGTGTTTGAATAATGAACAGGTTAGTGTATACTCCATCAGCTGTTTTAGTGTCTGTCAGCTTTGTTTAATTTGAGAATTAATCAATTATTACGGCTCAGAACAAGGTTTTGTGTATTGTTTTTATGTTCAACCATCCTAGATGCTTGTATCATTAACTTAACTACTACTTTATGTAATTAAATTAAAATGATTTATTTGTTATGATGGACTTAATGTGTACATACATGTTTTTCATACATTGTACTTCCATTTTAAAAACCCTCATGTAATTAATTTATGTAAGTTAATTTACAAATACACTGTTGACCCATCCATTACACATTAACCAACCCATGCTCACTCTGAAAACGTAGCCTCGCAGACGTTTCTGGACACAGCGATTTACGAGGTACGTATGGCTGCATTTCATTTTTTTTAAGCGAAAGCTAAGGGGCTTTCCCGCCGCAACCAGTTTGTCCGGTTAGCTCGTCGGGAGGGAAGCAAGCTGGCGGGCCGACGGGTCAATCGGTAAAACGGTTGGGTTTAGGGAAGGAGAATGTCCAGTCAATCATTCATTCATTCGGACAGACGGTCGCTCAACAGCGGCCTCCGGCGGCTTTACGTGAGAACAGCGTGGGCACTAATTGCGTTCAAGATGCGAAAAAGCGCACACATCGGCTTCTCGCCGATTCGCGATAACAAAAACTGCAGAAATACGTACCTCCGGGGACGTATTTCGCATTCTCCGGAAACGTCCGCGGGGCTACGTTTCCAGAATGAGCCTGGGTTGACATTAACCGACTCTCAAGCCTACCCACCCCACCAAATCTGTGCCTAAAGGCATCCATATCCCACCTTAACAGCAACGTTAAGCGCAACACTTTATGAACACAATACATACATCATTACAAGAAAAACAAGAGTTAAATGGTTGAGTTTTTGAATCCATTTAACTGATATCCAGAACTGGTGGAAGCACTTTTACAGTATCTTAGGCTGCGTCCGAAACCGCATACTTCCATACTATATAGTACGCTAAAATTAGTATGCGAGCCGAGTAGTATGTCCGAATTCATAGAATTGGAAAATCAGTAGGAGAGAAGTACCCGGATGACTTACTATTTCCAGCGAGATTTTGTTTTGATTTTATCCCATAATGCCCCGTGAGCGAATTCATGAATAGAAGTGAGGCGACGCAACTGACGCAGGTAGGTCACGTGACCATGACAAAATGGCGGATGTAGTACGTCCGAATTCCATTCATACTTTTCACATTCATACTGTATAGAACGCACTTTTCTAACGGCTGAGTAGTACGTTTAAATTCAAATGCAGTACCTACTGAGTAGTAGGCAGTTTCGGACGCAGCCTTAGCTTAGCATACATCATTTAATTGAATTAGACCATTCGCATTTCACTCAAAAAGTTTAAAAATGCTAATTTTCCTATTTAAAGGAATATGCTTAACTCTTCTGTAGTTACATTGTGTACTAAGACCAACGGAAAATGAAAAGTTTCTATTTTTCCGGAGCGTAATATCATTGCGCCTGCTTTAGCCATGGTATAGCAACAAAGTTCCTTGTTTATTATTAAGCCAGAATGAGAGTATAGTTCCTAGCCACATTGCCCTAGACAATATTAACTTTTCATTGTCTGTTAGTCTCAGTACACAATGTAACCACAGAAGAGTCAAGCTTTAAATAGAAACAATTATCAACACTTTTTAAGGCAAGATGCTAATGGTCTTATCGGATTCAACTATCTATGCTAAGCTAAGCTAAACAGACCAGAAGATTGGCTGAACGGATTAAAAAATGCTAAAACTAAACTGTTTAACTCTAGAAGAGCTGTAAAACCATTTTCAGAGTGTTCCTTTAACATGTTTAAGCAGTTATAGCTAAACGACACTTACCGTTGTTAGTGTTTATGCATCCGGTTATTGGTGTGCAACTTCCCATTGACCAGGACTGGGCAAAAAGCTGAACAGAGCTTTCTATGATACCACTGAAAGTGGTGAAGTCATCGTTCGTGTCATTATTATAAGTTCCACAAAGACCTGCAATAACAAATGAACTCAGTTCATATTTAAATGAACACACATTTAAATGAACATGAATTTGGCTCGGTCAGACCTTTGGTATTTTCAGTCGCTGGCAAATTCAGATATATTTGAATTTCTGGAGAGACTTGAACCTGCATTTTCAGGCCAAACGAAGTGTAGACTTGAACGAACATCGAGGACTGCCAAAAAACGGTGGTGGATTCTGAAACAAAAGCAAAGTACATATTTGAAAAGGGTAGTTATCGTGAATATTTTACGCTTTGTTAAGCTTATATGAATATTTAAATCTGCCGGATATCAAAACCGCCCACCAGTTTGTGACAAGTCACCGATGTCTATGTTGTTGAGTTGTATACTGTTTGCAGAGAAGGTGTATTTGTCCTGAAATTTAAAAAAAAGCACTCGTTAAATTATTAAATGATTATTTTTTTAACTAAAAAGTCATCTTTTCCATTTTAATAGAGAATTAAATCGACAACTTTCTCTTAAACAAAGATTTTAAAATCTTAATCTGTATATTTACTGTGTTATCAGCACACAAATGCACAGACAACCCTGCTGAAAAATCCAGCTTAAACCAGCCTAGGCTGGTTGGCTGGTTTTAGCTGGTTGACCAGGCTGGTTTTAGAAGGGTTTTGGCCACTTCCAGGCTGGTTTCCAGCCATTTCCAGCCTGGTCTTAGCTGGTCAGGCTGGGAGATGAACAGCTAAAACCAGCTAGACCAGCCTAGCCAAGCTGGGAGTCCAGCCAAAACCCCAACCCGGGCTCATTGTGGAAACGTAGCCCCGCGGACGTTTCTGCGGACCGCGATTTACGTCCCCGGAGGTACGTATTCGAGTGGTTTTTGTTTTCGCGGATCCGCGAGAGGCCGCTGTTCGCGCCCGCGCCATTCTCGCGCGAAAAGCCGCCGGATCGTCCGACTCGGCCGCCCTCCTCTTCCTCCTCCTTCCCTAAACCCAAGCGACGGTTCGCAAAAGCCGTCCAACAAAAAAAAAAAAAAAAAGCAAAAGCCCTCGTCTTCGATTTCGACCGCGTTTTCGGATCCCGCCGCGTTCTCACCCTTATTTTTCAGATTACGTTTTTCGTCTTACCTGATTTCCGGAACCACTGTTCCCCCGGACTCGATCCCGGTCGTCGTCCATCGCGGACGGTTCCTCCTCCGGGGCCTCCGCTCCGCCGATGCAACGCTGTGAGCTAAGCGGACAAACTGGTTGCATCGGGAAAGCCTTCCACCCGGAGGCGAGCCGTCGGCCGGCGAGCACAAAGAGGAGGGGCGGAGCGGCGACACACCGCCCCGCAGCGTTCGCTCGAAAAAAACTAAACGCAGCCTTTACATACCTCCGGCCACGTAAATCGCGGTCTCCAGAAACGTCCGCGGGGCTACGTTTCCAGAATGAGCTTGGGTTGCAAAACCCGCTATATCCAGCTTAAACTAGGCTGGTCAAGCTGGTTTTAGCTGGATTTGGCTGGTCATTTTCCAGCCTGACCAGCTAAGACCAGGCTGGTAATGGCTGGAAACCAGCCTGGAAATGGCCAAAACCCCTCTAAAACCAGCCTGGTCAACCAGCTAAAACCAGCCAACCAGCCTAGGCTGGTTTAAGCTGGATTTTTCAGCAGGGAATGCATTTATAATAAGCAATAAAATCGTCAAACCTGGTTGATGCTGAGATATGCCTGTTCTATGACGACACTTTGTGCAGAATACTGCACAATCAAAGTCCAGTTAAGCCCCTGAGTACCAAAAAGAGGCATTTTCATATCAGAAAAGTGCAAAATGCCACATTTGGCTGGACATTTATATTATAGTCAATGTTACCCTTGCAGCCACATAAGTGCATCTGTCTGGAAGAGAATACTGTTTGCCATCAAACGTCGTAATGAACTGTCCCTCGATGATACACTTGACCGGACACGTGTTTGCAGAACACGCCCATTTACCTCTGATGCAGGTGCTGTGAGGATAAGCACAACCCAAATCTCTCCATCAGTGTTTCACGATGACAAATTATATATTCAGATTCTGCTTTGTATAAACCTTGAACTTTTGATAAACCCTGGTTTTCCTCATGGTTTCATGTCTGTCTTTGTACCGCGTGGCTAATCAAAACACTGCAACTTCAACATAATTACATCAATATCATTTATTTAAAATGTAAAAACTTTATGTCAATCATATTCTATTACTATATTAATGTACAGGAATATAAATATATTATACTTAAAATGTTACGACAGTTGAAGTTAGAATTATTCACCCAAATATAAATATTTCTCAAATGATGTTTACCAGATTCAGGAAATTTTCACAGTATTTCCTATAATATTTTTTCTTCTGGAGAAAGTCTTATTTGTTTTATTTCAGCTAGAATAAAAGCAGTTTTACATTTTTTAAACACCATTTTAGGGTCAATATTATTAGCCCCTTTAAGCTATATATTTATATTATATAGTCTACAGAACAAACCATCATTATACAATAACTTGCCTTATCACCTAAACCTTCCTACTCTAATTAACCTAGTTAAGCCTTTAAATGTCACTTTAAGCTGCATAGAAGTGTCTTAAAGAATATGTAGTCTAATAATCATGGCAAAGATAAAATAAATCAGTTATTAGAGAGGAGTTATCAAAACTATTATGTTTAGAATCTGCTCTCCGTTAAACAGAAAATGGGGGAAAAGTAAACAGGGGGGCGAATAATTCTGACATACAGTAAATATACTGTGGTTGTGTCGAAACTTCAGCCATGACTGTCCACAAACCAACAGCAGAGATCTTCTGTTTTTCACCTGTTGAGTTGATTAAAACAGGGGTTTCCAAACTTTTCAGCCTGCGACCCCCAAAATGACAATGCCAGTGACTTGCGACCCCCCAATATCCTGGTTGTGAATACAGAAACGTTGCATGCAATGTCACACACACACACCAATACACCCAGGGATATTATTAGTTTAATGTCAGTGCGGTAAATGGGCTAGAAACTTTGGTCCCACTTTATTTTAAGTGGCCTTAACTAATATGTATTTACACAGGATTTAATAGTTTGTTACAATATACTTATTTTGTAAATACATGTATTTACTGTGTACTTATGCTTGATTAAATACATGTATGTAATTACATCTTTAATTAACTTTTGTAATTACATTTGTAAACACACTGTTGACCATCCCTTACACCTTAACCCACCCTTAAACCTACCCACACCACCAAACCTGTCCATAACCCAACCTCTATCCCAACTCAAAAGCACCACAAGTGTTCTCAAATGCATTATAAACACAGTAAGTACATTGTATTTATTTTTTGATGTAAGTACATAGTAGTTAAGGACACTTAATATAAAGTGGGACCGAAACTTTAACCTGGTGTTATAAAATCAATCTGCTGCATCTGACGCTATTGCTGTGTCTTTAATATAATGTAATTACCACTGCGGTCGCAATCCAATAAAACTAGTAACTATAAGCTACTATAGTAACTATATAGTAATTATAAACGACTATATTTTTTCTCTTCTGTAGGTTATGGATAAAATATGGTCATTCCTATATGATTTAATAATAATAAATTGATTTTTTTTAAATCACCAGGCGACCCCCCTTCGTTGTCCCGCGACCCCTCGAGGGGTCCCGACCCCCACTTTGAGAACCCCTGGATTAAAACAGCTGTTTACAATGAATCAGGGAGATTAGGATGCTTTAGAACATCCAGGGTAATTAGGATGCTTTAGTTCACGAAGTTTATGAAAAAATATATTTATTTAACTCTTTATTTAACAGGAATGACGGACGATTGAAGAACAGCCCCCGTAATCTGCAATCCCTGGGCAGGAGAATACAAACGCATCTTGCATAACAACAACATAAACACGATATGATTCTAAAATAAACAAGATTATATATATACACACAACAGTATATACAATATATAGAGTCATTGAATTGACACACACCTGATGCAGTTTTACCCAACATTACAAATGCGGATTGAACTGTGCTAGGGTAGGTCATTTGGTAAATTATTTCAATTAATAACAAAAAAAACAAATGTTAGGACAACCAAAATCAGCTAAAATTCTATACACAATCCCATCTTAAAAACATTTTAAAGGGTTGACCTAAAAACGTTAAGTCTGTTTTTAATTGCTCAATATTAAGAACGCAAATTAACATGCTTTAGAGGTAATCTGAGAGCTCCCTCATCCTCCATTTACAGCAACAGTCCATGACACTTCAGTGGTTCAACTGTGATTAAATGCAGCTCCAAGAACACTGTTGTGCACCAAAGTAAACTATAAAAACGGCTTTGTTCGCCTTTGTCTTCCATATCAGATCAGATTGCGCGTTTACTACGGACAATACGACATTTTCATGTTGCACTGATGACTCTAACATCAATAAATCCTATAGCCTAGAGTAAATGACCTGATGTGGGGGAGAAAATAGGCAAACAACATTGTTGTTTTTTTCTTTGTAGGATTGTAGTTGAGCCACTGAAGCCACATGGACTGTTTTGATAAAGTTTTTGTTCGTTTTCTGGACTTTGAATGTGTATGGAGGATGAGGGAGCTCTCAGATTTCATCTAAGTTATCTTAATTTGTGTGAGCGAAGGTTTAAAAAATTTTATTTTTAGGTGAACTACCCCTTTTAAAACTATACCCAGTTATCTAAAATAAAAAAAATTATCAAAGTCTTAAATACTGTGGTTCTCACCAGCTCTGGCATTTTGTTCTGCGCTCCTGCCTCGGCGCATACGTCATTTTTCCATGCACGCATGGACATTCCTCCACATTTATGGTTGAGTAGCCTTTAATACGGTCATTCAGGACCTTTCCTGAAATTGTGAGAGAAAGAAAACGTTGCGAATGACACTGACATTAAATCAAAATAAGCAAAAAGTTAGCTTTTCTAAGACCCATCAATCTCTCATAGTTGATGTTCACATTAACCGTTAAACTGGATAAACAAATAGTGCATTAAAAATCCACCTTATAGAAACAAGTCAAAAACAAAACGTACTGCAAAAAAAGAAGTTTTGAATCTGCCGTTATGCTGACACATGGGCATTTGTAGCTCTGCCCCATTTTGACGCAATTCAAAATGTTTTCATATAGTGGTTCACTCATTCATTCATTTCAGTGTCGGCTTAGTCCCTTTATTAATCCGGGGTCGCCACAGCGGAATGAACCGCCAACTTATCTAGCAAGCTTTTACATAGCGGATGCCCTTCCAACATAATCACCAGTACCACATGTATTTGGATTGTGGGGGAAACCGGAGCACCCGGAGGAAACCCACGCGAAGGCAGGGAGAACATGCAAACTCCACACAGAAACACCAACTGAGCCGAGGCTCGAACCAGCGACCCAGTGACCTTCTTGCTGTGAGGCGACAGCACTACCTACTGCGCCACTGCCCCGCCCACTAGTGGTTAACTCATACGATCACGTTCGTTTTAGTATGATTTGCCAATCACAGTATGGTTTAACATTTAGACACGCCTCCTTTTAAAAATTATGTGTTTTTATATGGATGAATTTGTATGAATTAAGACATTTTTGAGAATGCGTGACATAATTCATTGGAATATCATGCTGAAAATAATTTTTTAAAAATCTACTACATCAAATTATTTTGCGCCTGTGTTCAAATGCACTAAAATCTGCACCTTATCATCATCTTTGCTTATTTACGACCTAGTTTATGGTTCAGTACAGGCGTTCTCAAACTCGGTCCGGGAGGTCCGGTGTCCTGCATATTTTAGCTTTAACTTGCCTCAACACACATGAAAGGATAGCTGCGTCCCAAATGGCAAACTATACACTATGCACTCATGCACTATGTACTTATGCACTTACACACTCAACAGGATAGTATATGTATGTAGTGGCGTCCCAAATGGCACACTTATGTTTTTTTACTAAGCGGAAATTCAAACCGTTTCCCTGATGATGTTTGACGGTCGCCAAATCAGTGAAATAAACCAGTGGTTCCCAACCTGGGGTCCGCGCCCCCCTAAGGGGGGCGCCAGAGTTCACAGGGGCGGCACGGGAGAGGATAAGTGTTGAGGTAGAAAAAGGCATAAAATGCTCCACTATTATATAGGGCTGTGCAGTTAATCGAAAATCGGATTTCGATTTTGGCTTCAAATGATTATAAAAAAACGTTAATCGAGATAAATGATTATTACATCATATACCGCCACCTTTCCAGTTGTACACGTGTTGCTCTTAAAAGCGCGAAAGACCGCGGTCAGCATTCGCTCTCATTCGAACACTGAGACGAGCAGAGGAGCGCAGACATCTAAAGTCATTAACGTGAGCGCTTTAATGGTCAAATAGGTGTAAAAACGCGGTGTTCAGTGATTATTTATATTAACCCTCATTTGTGTAATAAACAAACGAGTTGAGGATCAAAAGACGTGAAAGAGAAACCATTAAAGAGACAGCGAGAAATATTCCTGCTGCCGCCTGTTTTTATTAATATTAATCAAAGATAACGAGAAAATCCCTCTCTGCTCTTGACTGAAGGATTTTTGTAGCTAAAGTGTTTCTCTTAGGGTGAAGATGCTTAAAGCACAGTTTGTTTTATATATTTTTTCTATTGTATTTATTGCTCTTTTCTTTGCAGGGTGGAAAATAACTGTATGTATACACTTGAAGTCAGAATTATTAGCCCTCCTGAATATTAGCAACCCTTTTACTCCCCATTTCTGTTTCATGGAAAGAAGTTTTTTTTAACTTATTTCTGAACATGATACTTTTGATATATCATTTCTAATAACTGAGTTAGCTTTCTTTTATCTTTGCTATGATGACAGTACGTAATATTTGACTAGATTTTACTAGATGTTTTTCAAAATACAAGCATTCAGATTAAAGTGCAATTCAAAGGCTTAATTAGAGTAATTAGGCAAGTCATTGTATGACAGTAGTTTCTTCTGCAGACAATCAAAAATATGTATTGCTTAAGGGGGCTAATAATATTGACCCTAAATTGGTTTTAAAATATTTAAACCTGCTTTTATTCTAGCTGATACTGTTAAAATTCCTTGTTCTGTTAAACATAATTTGGGAAATATTTATTCAAAAAATTCTCAGGATTCTCAAAAAATTCTCAGAATAATCGTTTTGAACAATCATGATTACAATTATGACCAAAATAATCGTGATTATGATTTTTCCCAAAATCGACCAGCCCTACTATTATATATGTATTTTAAGAACCAAAAAAAAAAAAAAAATCAAAACATGCTTAAAATTCCAACATAATAGTAAAAATAATTAAAATAAATAACTTTAAAAAATTATTTAAATTTTGCTCACTCGTGCAATGTGCTTGTCAACGTGTCGTAAAGGCAAAATCAAAACAAAAATGGCAGAGAAACGTAAATGCAGTGATTCTTCAGAGGCGAAGAAAAAGATTAGACAGTATGACAAAGATTACCTAGATTTTGGTTTTATTAAAGGCCAAGACAAGTTAAAACTAATTAATTTATATTGTCTATACATATTATATATTAATATTACATAAACACACACATGCAGTATATATATATATATATATATATATATATATATACACAGTACAAATGTGTGTGCGTGCGTATTTATATGTTTATATGGTGGGGGGGCTCCAATGTTTGTATATGTTCATATGTTCATATGTTTATGCAAAGATAAAGGTTGGGAACCACTGAAATAAACGACCGAATTATCAAATAATACCTGCCGTGATTATAACCGCATTCACCATCGGGAGGCGCTATAATCACTCTCGTGAACAAAAAGAATTTTGCTTTCACCATCCAAAATAAATAAAGTTATTCAACATGTGCGCCCGATAGCTCCGCCCCTTCCGCTACATGAGCAAACCTGCGGTCGTTGAGTGCGTGAAGTGTCCATCATTCCACACTTCATTTTAGCGGCTGAATGAGTGCATCATCCGGGTAATTAAAGTGCACTTATTATTTTTAGAGTTTTCAGTGTGAACGCACTACTTACACTATTCATACTACAAAATGGCGTAGAATAGTGCATAAGTATGCGATTTGGGACGCAGCTATAGTTTTTGGAAAGCTTAGCGATGGCTTGATTAGCTGGCCCAGGTGTGTCTGATTGGGGTTGGAGCTGAAATCTGCTGAACACAGAATCTTCAGGACCGAGATTGAGAACCCCTGGTTTAGTAAAACCACCTACAAACTTTTCAATCCCATCTGGGTTTTATGAGATTCGCTTTCGTGCTAATTTAGCTCATTTCCCCTTTAGGGAATGTTTTTACATCTAATAAAGGCCAACATTCAGATAAAACATTTTCAGTTCACATGGATGCATCGAAAAATGGATCTAAAAATGCTATATAATACATGCCAGGGCAGTAGTCGGCAACGTCACAATTTATGTGCGTCAATGTTACCATCTACCTATTGTTATGCGAATTAATATGGCCTATTATGGCAAGGAATATGGCCGAAAATGTTTTGGAAATGCACATAAAAAAACATATGTGCACAAATGAGTCAAAAATGTGCATAAACTGTGATGGAAACACATTTGCTGATTAAATTTCATTGGTGTTGGTCTGAGCTGGGATCGAACCGGCGACTCTCCACATGGGTTGCTCTAACAAGGAGGCTAAAGACCATGATCTCTAAAATCTGAGGTTTACCTGCATAGCATGGTACACTCTAGCTGGCCACTGCTACACTCACCTCCCTAAACCTCACTCCCATCCCGGACGAGCCCCCACAAGTAACTCACCGGTTCTACTGCACCCAAGCCGCTCTGAGCCGGGATCGAATTGGCGATTCTTCGTATGGGAGTCGGTTGCTGTAACAAGGAGGCTAAAGACCATGGCCCCTAGCGTCTGTCGCTAGAGCACCTTTAGAGGTCAGCGGAGCAAGGTTTACCTGCACAGCACTTCTCTAGCTGGCCTCTGCTACACTCACCACCCTAAACCTCACTCCATCCCGGACGAGCCCCCACATGTAACCGACTGGTCCTACTGCATCCAACACGCTCTGAGCAGTGATCGAACTGGTGATTCTTTGCAAGAGGGTGGGCTGCTTTAACAAGGAGGCTAAAGACCATGGCCTTTAGTGTCTGTGAGGTTTACCTGCACAGCACTTCATTAGCTGGCCTCCACTACGCTTGCACATCAAACAAACGTTTGCGAATTTGTTTTAACAGATCACATGATACCTAAAATGAGTGGGATTGGATAGCATTAAAAAACAAACTAGCTAAGGAAGCACATTGGAAAAGATCAGAAATGTAAATTGTTATATAGGGAAAAAATGGCCCTCCTCAATTTTTTGGTTTGATATTTGGCGCCAATTGATCAAGAAGTGTCCATTATCTTTAACAGACTGGATAAAATAGCGGCTTTATTCCTAAATGTTGTATGCGAAATTCCAGCTTGATCTTATGACTAAACGTAACTCTTTTACGTTTCGTCAGTTTAGTGGCTAATTCTTACGAATTCATACGATGGCATGCAACTCCACCCCAAAACGCAGCCATCATTGGGGAAGGAGCAAATCGTACTAAATTGTACGAATCACATGGTACGAGTTTATACGAATTGACCACTAAATCAAAAAGTTAGGAATTGCCGTGGGATATCATTGGTGCATAAATTAAACACAAAGTTGGATGGAAACACTGCTAATGTTTTGTCAAAATAGTATTATTTATTTTTTTGAATTTACACAAGGACAATAAATGCTATCATTCTGACATGCTAACACTTATAACCAACAATGAAGAACTGACCTTCAGCCGGCAGGCAGGTGCTGGTGAAGTCCGCGGTGGAGTTTTGCGGGTTGCTGCAGGTCGGGGGGAAAGCGGGACCCATTTCTACATAACGCAGATCTCCAGGACAAAGAGGCATGGCTGCAAACAAGATACGTTCTTAGCATTTCAAACACTATACCAATAAAAATTAATATTTTAAACTGTGGCTCTTACAGCAGTTGGTTTTGGACCTCCATATTGACCAGAACGGACTGGAGCTGCCGCACATCAGGGAAATCTCTTTGAAGAAGGAGCAGTTCACCTCGTGATGCCACAAACCATTCATACTTTTATAACACAGACTCAGGTAGCTTTTATATTTGGCGCCGAGACATTCGTACGCGTGGGACAAAACACCACTACAAACCTAGGAACATTTAAATAAAAAGATAGTGTTAGAGGTCAACTAAGAATCCAATAGCTTACACAATAGATCCCACACTTACCCAAAAATTGCTGTTTTTAACACAAATGTAATAACAAAAGTGGGTTAAAACTTCAAGCCATATTGTCAGTCCATATTATACGCGAATTTGTACTAAACAAATTGTCCCAGTTTACTACTGTCCCTACTGAAAATACCAGCTTAAACCAGCCTAGACTGGTTGGCTGATTTTAGCTGGTCGACCAGGCTGGTTTTAGAGGGGTTTGGGCCATTTCCAGGCAGGTGTCCAGCCTTTTTCAGCCTGGTCTTAGCTGGTTAGGCTGGGAGATGACCAGCTAAAACCAGCTTGACCAGCCTAGCCATCTATGACCAGCTAAAACCAGGCTGGTCACGCTGGTTTTAGCTGGATTTAGCTGGTCATTTTCCAACCTGACAAGCTAAGACCAGGCTGGAAATGGCTGGAAATCAGCCTGCAAATGGCCAAAACCCCTCTAAAGCCAGGTTGGGCAACCAGCTAAAACCAGCCAACCGGCCTAGGCTGGTTTAGGCTGGATTTTTCAGCAAGGGTAACCATGGTTCCCTGAGGAGACTGTAAACGAGGGGTCAACAAACTTGTTCCTGGTGGGCCGGTGTCCTTAAGAGTTTACGTTCAAGCCTAATCAAACACATCCAAACAAGCTATTCAAGGTCTCCTAGGAATACTTGAAACCTCCTGGCAGGGGTTAAGAGGCAAGGTGGAGTCAAACTCTGCAGGGACCGAGGGACGCCATGTCTCCCATGTGAAATCACTTCAATGTAATCACCGGGGCGTCACTGCGCTAAGGCAGCTACTCATACCCTTGAGGAACCATGGTTGCAGTCGAAACCTGGGATGTTCCCTTTCAGGGAATTTCGGCGCTATGGAAATGCAACTCCAACAACCCCATACTGTCAAGTGTCCAGGTGTCATGTCCACCTCAAAGCTAGAATCCAGAGAGGGATCTATATCAAGTTAATAAAATCGGATAAAGGTGCGGAGGGTAGACCAACCCTCTGAGTTGCATATATCTGACAGGGAGATCCGTGTTTGAAAGGCTTTTGAAGCCACCATACTCAGTGTAGAGTGAGCCCGGATGGCCAAAGCACATGGCTGACCTTTGCTTGGACAAAGGGGACCCATGATTCAGGTGGACATATAAAACAAACAACTGTTCAGATTTATGCTACAGGGCAGCTTTGGTGCAATTTATTACACACCTAATGGTATTTTGTCTACTGTTACTATTTATTACTAGTTACGTACATTTATGTGGCAGTTATGTTGTTTAATTTAGGCCCAATCCCAATTCTACCCCTTAGCCCTTCTCCTTACCCCTCTTTTTGCGCGTTCCCGTGAAGTGGGAGTCTTTAGCTTTAAGGCGTAGGGCTAAGGGGTAGATAGCCCTTCAGATCAAGATTTTTCAGGACCACACTTGAAACCAAGAGGTAAGAAAATTTCTCAGAATACACCAGCTACAACCACAGCATTGTTGCATCAGGAAGTAAGGAGATCCACAAATTAGTATTGACTCTAGCTTCATTGCTAAATGGCTAACAAACCCAATAACTGTGTTTAGTGCTTTATGAAGGCTGAAAGACAGCGTTGATTCATTTGGGGCCTTGTTGTGAGTCTACTAGATACTTTCTGAGGTGCACCCAGCTCATGAACTCCTCCAGAACTACACCTGGATGATGGAGGCTTTCAGCGGTGCTTCTGACTGAGCCGAGCCCAGTTTGATGACCTGTTGTCGGTGTCGGCAGGAAGATTTTCCCCTGGGACACTAACAACAGGCGCTACGTCATAATCACGCCCCCTCAAGAGCAAGCTCCTGATTGGTTAGCTATGTGCGAATGTCTGCTGAAGTTCAGATTTTCAAACTCGAGTGAGTCAATCACGTATAACGCTCAACTCGTGGTGCTTCATTCGCGGGAATCTGGTCATTCGTGCCAAACCATTCGCGCGTAGTCTGTTAATCTGACTTGCTCGAAATGTGCTTGCCAACACAGCTACCCTTCTTTCTTTTGTCTTAACTGGTACTCACTGTGTTTGTCTGTGCAACAGAGTCTTGTGTCAGGCATTGACCATCAGGAAGGACGCTGCTGGAAATCAACTGCTGCATCGTTTCTGCCAACACACGAAGACAAAAGTATATAATTATGATCAAACATGACGTCAGATTGACGTTGTACCCTAACATCGTGGGGACGATGCATTTTGTTTGGTGATTGAAAATCCTATTAACGTCAGAATCCATAGTCCAACCTAAAATCAACCAAATATCAACGTCTAATGAAGTTACAGCTTGTTGTTGTTTGGACATTTCCACTATGACGTCTATTAAATGTTGGATTTTGGTTGCCATACCTGACAAATAAATGTCACTATTTGAGGTCAATGACATTGGTCACTTTTCAACACAACCTAAAATCAACCAAATTTCAACGTCTAATGAAGTTACAGCTTGTTGTTGTTTGGACGTTACCACTATGACGTCTATTAGACATTGGATTTTGGTTGTCCTACCTGACGAATAAATGTCAGTATTTGACGTCAATGACATTGGTCACTTTCCAACACAACCTAAAATCCACCAAATATCAACGTCATTTGATGTTATTATTGGACGTCAAAATAACGTTGTCCTTAGACGTTGACTAGACACTGAATTTTAGTCACCTGACGTCACAACCTATATTTGTTGAGTGCCTGCTGGGAATCAATGTCGAAACGATGTCAAACTGCAAATGCAAATTGGTTTGATGTCAATTGACTACCTTTGATGTCGAAACAACATCAAATTGACATCTAAAATCGGCAAAAGTATATGATTATGATCAAACATGACGTCAGATTGACGTTGTACCCTAACATCGTGGGGACGATGCATTTTGTTTGGTAATTGAAAATCCTATTGACGTCATAATCCATAGTCCAACCTAAAATCAACCAAATATCAACGTCTAATGAAGTTACAGCTTGTTGTTGTTTTGACGTTATCACTATGACGTCTATTAGACGTTGGATTTTGGTTGTCCTACCTGACGAATAAATGTCAGTTTTTGACGTCAATGACATTGGTCACTTTCCAACACAACCTAAAATCAACCAAATATCAACGTCATTTGATGTTATTATTGGACGTCAAAATAACGTTGTCCTTAGACGCTGACTAGACATTGAATTTTAGTCACCTGACGTCACAACCTATATTTGTTGAGGGCCTGCTGGGAATCAATGTCGAAATGATGTCCAACTGCAAATGCAAATTGGTTTGATGTCAATTGACTACCTTTGATGTCGAAACAACATCAAATTGACATCTAAAATCGGCAAAAGTATACGATTATGATCAAACATGACGTCAGATTGACGTTGTACCCTAACATCGTGGGGACGATGCATTTTGTTTGGTAATTGAAAATCCTATTGACGTCAGAATCCATAGTCCAACCTAAAATCAACCAAATATCAACGTCTAATGAAGTTACAGCTTGTTGTTGTTTGGACGTTACCACTATGACGTCTATTAGACGTTGGATTTTGGTTGTCATACCTGACGAATAAATGTCAGTATTTGACGTCAATGACATTGGCCACTTTCCAACACAACCTAAAATCAACCAAATATCAACGTCATTTGATGTTATTATTGGACGTCAAAATAACGTTGTCCTTAGACGCTGACTAGATATTGAATTTTAGTCTCCTGACGTCAAAACCTATATTTGTTGAGTGCCTGCTGGGAATCAATGTCGAAACGATGTCCAACTGCAAATGCAAATTGGTTTGATGTCAATTAACTACCTTTGATGTCGAAACATTATCAAATTGATATCTAAAATCGGCAAAAGTATATGATTATGATCAAACATGACGTCAGATTGAAGTTGTACCCTAACATCGTGGGGACGATGCATTTTGTTTGGTAATTGAAAATCCTATTGAGGTCAGAATCCATAGTCCAACCTAAAATCAACCAAATATCAACGTCTAATGAAGTTACAGCTTGTTGTTGTTTGGACGTTACCACTATGACGTCTATTAGACGTTGGATTTTGGTTGCCATACCTGACGAATAAATGTCAGTATTTGAAGTCAATGACATTGGTCACTTTCCAACACAACCTAAAATCAACCAAATATCAACGTCATTTGATGTTATTATTGGACGTCAAAATAACGTTGTCCTTAGACGCTGACTAGACATTGAATTTTAGTCACCTGACGTCACAACCTATATTTGTTGAGTGCCTGCTGGGAATCAATGTTGAAACGATGTCCAACTGCAAATACAAATTGGATTGATGTCAATTGACTAACTTTGATGTTGAAACATTATCAAATTGACATCTAAAATCGGCAAAAGTATATGATTATGATCAAACATGACGTCAGATTGTTGTTGTACCCTAACATCGTGGGGACGATGCATTTTGTTTGGTAATTGAAAATCCTATTGACGTCAGAATCCATAGTCCAACCTAAAATCAACAAAATATCAACGTCTAATGAAGTTACAGCTTGTTGTTGTTTGAACGTAACCACTATGACGTCTATAAGACGTTGGATTTTGGTTGCCATACCTGACGAATAAATGTCAGTATTTGACGTCAATGACATTGGTCACTTTCCAACACAACCTAAAATCAACCAAATATCAACGTCATTTGATGTTATTATTGGAAATCAAAATAACGTTGTCCTTAGACGCTGACTAGACACTGAATTTTAGTCACCTGACGTCACAACCTATATTTGTTGAGTGCCTGCTGGGAATCAATGTCGAAACGATGTCAAACTGCAAATGCAAATTGGTTTGATGTCAATTGACTACCTTTGATGTCGAAACATTATCAAAGTGATATCTAAAATCGGCAAAAGTATATGATTATGATCAAACATGACGTCAGATTGACGTTGTACCCTAACATCGTGGGGACGATGCATTTTGTTTGGTAATTGAAAATCCTATTGCCGTCAGAATCCATAGTCCAACCTAAAATCAACCAAATATCAACGTCTAATGAAGTTACGGCTTGTTGTTTGGACGTTACTACTATGACGTCTATTAGACGTTGGATTTTGGTTGTCCTACCTGACGAATAAATGTCAGTATTTGACGTCAATGACATTGGTCACTTTCCAACACAACCTAAAATCAACCAAATATCAACGTCATTTGATGTTATTATTGGACGTCAAAATAACGTTGTCCTTAGACGCTGACTAGACACTGAATTTTAGTCACCTGACGTCACAACCTATATTTGTTGAGTGCCTGCAGGGAATCAATGTCGAAACGATGTCAAACTGCAAATGCAAATTGGTTTGATGTCAAATGCCTACCTTTGATGTCAAAACAACATCAAATTGACATCTAAAATCGGCAAAAGTATATGATTATGATCAAACATGACGTCAGATTGACGTTGTACCCTAACATCGTGGAGACGATGCATTTTGTTTGGTAATTGAAAATCCTATTGACGTCAGAATCCATAGTCCAACCTAAAATCAACCAAATATCAACGTCTAATGAAGTTACAGCTTGTTGTTGTTTGGACGTTTCCACTATGACGTCTATTAGACGTTGGATTTTGGTTGCCATACCTGACGAATAAATGTCAGTATTTGAAGTCAATGACATTGGTCACTTTCCAACACAACCTAAAATCCACCAAATATCAACGTCATTTGATGTTATTATTGGACGTCAAAATAACGTTGTCCTTAGACGCTGACTAGACATTGAATTTTAGTCACCTGACGTCACAACCTATATTTGTTGAGTGCCTGCTGGGAATCAATGTTAAAACGATGTCCAACTGCAAATGCAAATTGGTTTGATGTCAATTGACTACCTTTGATGTTGAAACATTATCAAATTGACATCTAAAATCGGCAAAAGTATATGAGTATGATCAAACATGACGTCAGATTGACGTTGTACCCTAACATTGTGGGGACGATGCATTTTGTTTGGTAATTAAAAATCCTATGGACGTCAGAATCCATAGTCCAACCTAAAATCAACCAAATATCAACGTCTAATGAAGTTACAGCTTGTTGTTGTTTGGACGTTACCACTATGACGTCTATTAGACGTTGGATTTTGGTTGAAATACCTGACGAATAAATGTCAGTATTTGACGTCAATGACATTGGTCACTTTCCAACACAACCTAAAATCAACCAAATATCAACGTCATTTGATGTTATTATTGGACGTCAAAATAACGTTGTCCTTAGACGCTGACTAGACATTAAATTTTAGTCACCTGACGTCACAACCTATATTTGTTGAGGGCCTGCTGGGAATCAATGTCGAAATGATGTCCAACTGCAAATGCAAATTGGTTTGATGTTAATTGACTACCTTTGATGTCGAAACAACATCAAATTGACATCTAAAATCGGCAAAAGTATATGATTATGATCAAACATGACGTCAGATTGAAGTTGTACCCTAACATCGTGGAGACGATGCATTTTGTTTGGTAATTGAAAATCCTATTGACGTCAGAATCCATAGTCCAACCTAAAATCAACCAAATATCAACGTCTAATGAAGTTACAGCTTGTTGTTGTTTAGACGTTACCATATGACGTCTATTAGACGTTGGATTTTGGTTGTCATACCTGACAAATAAATGTCAGTATTTGACGTCAATGACATTGGTCACTTTCCAACACAACCTAAAATCAACCAAATATCAACGTCATTTGATGTTATTATTGGACGTCAAAATAACGTTGTCCTTAGACGCTGACTAGACATTGAATTTTAGTCACCTGACGTCACAACCTATATTTGTTGAGTGCCTGCTGGGAATCAATGTCGAAACGATGTCCAACTGCAAATTGGTTTGATGTCAATTGACTACCTTTATGTCGAAACAACATCAAATTGACATATAAAATCGGCAAAAGTATATGATTATGATCAAACATGACGTCAGATTGACGTTGTACCCTAACATCGTGGGGACGATGCATTTTGTTTGGTAATTGAAAATCCTATTGACGTCAGAATCCATAGTCCAACCTAAAATCAACCAAATATCAACGACTAATGAAGTTACAGCTTGTTGTTGTTTGGACGTTTCCACTATGACGTCTATTAGACGTTGGATTTTGGTTGCCATACCTGACGAATAAATGTCAGTATTTGACGTCAATGACATTGGTCACTTTCCAACACAACCTAAAATCAACCAAATATCAACGTCATTTGATGTTATTGTTGGACGTCAAAATAACGTTGTCCTTAGACGCTGACTAGACATTGAATTTTAGTCACCTGACGTCACAACCTATATTTGTTGAGTGCCTGCTGGGAATCAATGTCGAAACGATGTCAAACTGCAAATGCAAATTGGTTTGATGTCAATTGACTACCTTTGATGTCGAAACAACATCAAATTGACATCTAAAATCGGCATTAAAAAGCATTTGTTTCGTTCTGTGTCAGATGTCAATCTGACGTAATTTTGACATCAAGGTAGTTGTAAGGAAACAAAATCCAGTCTAAATGTTGAACTTGTGAATGAATCTTTCAAATAAATAAAAGCTTTCTTAGATTATAATACTTTTCGTGTCGTCCTTTTGGTGGTCAAAAAAAGCATCAATGTGTGGATGTCAAATAGACGTTAAGGTTATAACCAGCATTTTTGATGTGTTTTTGCTACCATGCTTGGTCAATTTGATGTCGTTTTCGACATGCTGGGTAAGAAGTCATTGATTAAACATCACTAATCAACTGAACCCACTAACCTGAGCTGTTCTGATGTCCACAAAGTCCACTCATACCCTCCACCAAACCCTGGTTCAGTTGCACCTAAAAGAGAAATGCTTGAAAATGATATGCAATATATTGTAGCTATAATGTAATAATCACAAGGAATGCATTTAAAGGCTTAATTAGGTGTTTTTTTTTAGAAAAGTTAGAGTAATTATGCAAATCATTGTAAAATAATGGTTTATTTTGCAAACAATTGAGAAAAAAAAAGTTTAAGGGGCTAATAATATTGACCTAAAATGGCTTTTAAAAAATTCAAAACTGCTTTTATTCTAGCCGAAATAAAACAAATAAGACTTTCTCCAGAACAAAAAATATTATAGGAAATACTCGGGAAAAATTCCTGAATCTGTTAAACATCATTTGGGAAACATTTGAAAAAGACTGATTGACTTGATATGTACATAATTAAATAGACAATGTTAATTAATGATTACTCACCCAAAGTGAACTGACACCATCAGGCACACTGTACCAGGTGACAGACAATGGTAATATTTTGCTCTGCAGTCTGGTGTAGATTCCGTAGCGAAACACATGCTGATAGGTGTGGTCGTATGGGAGGGAAATTCTGTGAAAATATATACAGTTGCAGTCAGAATTATTCACCCCCTTTGAATTTTTTTTCTTTTTTAAATATTTCCCAGATGATATTTAACAGATTCAGGAAATGTTCACAGTGTGTCTGATAATGTTTTTTCTTCTGGAGAAAGTCTCATTTGTTTTATTTCGGCTAGAATAAAAGCAGTTTTTAATTGTTTAAACACTATTTTAGGGTCAATATTATTAGCCTCTTTAAGGTATTTATTTTTTCGATAATCTACAGAACAAACCATCGTTATACAATAACTTGCCTAATTTCCTTAACCCCCCTAGTTAACCTATTAAGCCTTTAAATGTCTCTTTAAGCTGTATAGAAGTGTCTTGAAGAATATCTAGTCTAATATTATTTACTGTCATCATGGCAAAGAGAAAATCAGTTATTAGAGATGAGTTATTAAAACTATTATGATTAGAAATGTGTTAAACAAAATCCGCTCTCCGTTAAACAGAAATTGGGGGACAAAAATAAACAGGGCGGCGAATAATTCAGACTTACACTGTATATAATTGATTTTTATCGCAAACATATGACAACATTTGTAGATTCATTCATTCATTTTCTTGTCAGCTTAGTCCCTTTATTAATCCGGGGTCGCCACAGCGGAATGAACCGCCAACTTATCCTGTAAGTTTTTATGCAGCGGATGCCCTTCCAGCCGCAACCCATCTCTAGGAAAACACACACATTCACACACACACTACAGACAATTTTAGCCTATACCAATTCACCTGTACAGCATGTCTTTGGACTGTGGGGGAAACCGGAGCACCCGGAGGAAACCCACGCGAAGGTAGGGAGAACATGCAAACTCCACATTTATATATATATGCTTCAATTCATAATAAGATTGTCTGACAGAAGAAAGTCATTTACAATGAGGACGGCTTGTGGGGGAGTAAATAATGGTGATTTTCCTTTTTGAGTGAACTCTTACTTTATTGTTCATTCTTTAAAACCCTACTGCTGTAGCACATAATGGCTCCCCTGCTGAAAAAACAAGTTTAAACCAGCCTAAGCTGGTTGGCTGGTTTTAGCTGGTTGACCAGCCTGGTTTTAGA